ACTGACAAAGCCGAACAGTATTAAAGACCCTGCTGCCTTCCTTAGGCAGATTTGGAGGGGAGGCCCAGCAGCAAGGGTGGAGAGGAAAAGGAGAGGGGAGCTTGTGGAACAGGAAGCCCCCAGGGTCCGCGCATGGCTCCCCGCCGTTGAGGATGTTGTGGATGGGGAAGTGCTGAGGGTGTCCTGAGGCGGCCTAGCACCTCCACTGGGCCCAGAAGGTCTTGACTTTGGAAGCTTACCCATGTTCCAGAAGGGTTTGAAAGCTGTTTTTGCTTTTGTTCTTTTCCTAAATAATCATTACTTGGTAGTTACTTATTAGTCTTCCTTTGGGAGAGGGACAGAGCTTTAAAACTGAAGAACATAATTTTCATTAAAATATCAAAAATGGAAAAAAGTTACTTTGTAAACAATTTGCTCTACAAACCAAATGGTAGCTGTTGAGAATCTCAATAAAAGGTTAAGTGCATTTGCTGCTGTTAGAAGAAACAAAGAAAAAAATTAGAATAAAGAAAAGGTGCATTTGCTGGCAGTGGTACCATTAGCCTCAGGTTGGGTCACTGTGTCATCATACTGTGGTGGGGGGTATGTGTGGTGTGTATGTGTGAAACTTTTCATCTCAGGATGGATCATAATCTTAGCTGCAGTTTTCCTTCCAAACAGGGTTAAAAAGTAGGAAAACATGGGCTTGGAAGTGACAGACCTGAGTGAACCAGCCCAGCTTAAAGAAAAATCCAATAAAACTAACTTTTAATAATCCTGAGGTTGGTTTTTGAAACAATAGATACAATGATTTACTTTAAGCATCTGGTTATGATTTTGAATTAGTAATACATACTGTCTCAACCCCCTTTTTTTCTTATGGAAACAGAGGTTTCACCCAGAAAACCACAAAACAGTGATTTTTTTTTTTTTTATGACAGGGTGTCACTCTGTCATGCAAGCTGCAGTGGAGTGGTGGATCTCAGCTCACTGCAGCCTCAACCTCCCACCTTAGCCTCCCAAGTAGCTGGGACCACAGGCGCCACCGCGCCCAGCTAATTTATTTTATTTTGTGTACAGATGGAGTTTTGCCATGTTGCCCAGGGTGGTCTCAAACTTCTAGGCTCAAGTGGTTCACCCACTTCAGCCTCCCAAAGTGCTCTGTCTACAGGCATCAGCCACTGTGCCCAACCTGCAGTGACTGTTTAAAACATAAGTTCAAGCATCTGGTCTTAACTCCTTTAATTGGAGGTATCTCTTCTCTCATTTTTCTCATCTTTGGTGTTCCCCCAGAGTTCACTGCTGACTGAATGTACAACATATATTTCAAAGTCAAGGCTGGACTGGGTGCAGTGACTCATGCCTATAATCGCAGGACTTTGGGAGTCCAAGGCAGGCAGATCACTTGGGTCCAGGAGTCCTAGACCAGCCTGACCAACAGGGAGAAACCCTGTCTCTACAAAAAATATAAAAATTAGCCAGGTGTGGTGGTGCATGCCTGTAATCTCAGCTACTCAGGAGGCTAAGGCAGGAGAATCACTTGAATCCAGGAGGTAGAGGTTGCGGTGAGTCGAGATCACCCCATGCCATCGCACTCCAGCCTGGGCAACAGGAGTGAAACTCCATCTCAGAAACGAAACCAAATACAAAAACTAGAACAACTTTCTTCTGGAGTAGTCTATGTGTGCCACCTACCTAACCTACTGAATGAAACCCAGATCCTTTCCTATTTCTCCCAGTTACAAGGCACTGTTACAAGGTTCAGACTATCTAGAAATAAAAGGCTGGGAAATAGCAAACGCTATGCGTTTGTGGAGTTTAAGTCTGAGGATTTTGCCAAGATAGTTGCTGAAACAATGAACAACTAACTACCTGTTTGGTGAAAGACTCTTGGAGAGTCATTTTATGCCACCTGAAAAAGTATAGAAAGAACTCTTTCAAGACTGGAATATTCCATTTAAGCAGCCATCATATCCATCAGTGAAATGTATAATTAGAATCAGCACTTACACAAAAGCTACGGAAGGAGGAGCGATTTAAAAAGAAAGGATTACTCAGGAAGAAATTAGCTTAAAAAGGAATTGGTTATGATTTTCCTTCTTTGATTTTACAGAAAATGGAAAATATTTCAAAAATGAATTGTCAGATGTCTACAATAGCCCAGGTTTTATGTAAGAAGAAGAAAAAGGTTTTAGGCACTTCTGACACTCCCGAGAAGACAGTGGATATCTACGGCCCCACATTGGTTTGTACATCAACATTTTTAAAGAAACGAAAATCTGAAGTGGCTGAAATGAATGATGATGATGAAGATAATGAAATAGTTTTCAAACAGCCCATATCCTGTGTAAAAGAAGAAATACAAGAGACTCAAACACCTACACATTCACAGAAGACAAAGAAAAAGCAATCAGTGATATTCAATGTATATAGATTTCTTCTGAAAAATATTTTCATGAGAAAAATACAAAAAATTAACTGGGCAAGTTGGCTCACACCTGTAGTCCCAGCTACTCGGGAGGCAGAAGTGGATCACCTGAGCCCAGGAAGTTGAGGCTACAGTGAGCCGTGATCACGCCACTGCACTCCAGCCAAGTCAAGTCATTACATTTATCTTGACCTATTCTAGGCTGGCTTAAGTGGAATTTGTATTAAGAATACAACAGGCAACCTCACAGACATCTAAGTACAAAACTCTAAATATGACCACACCATGGAAGGCCTGCCTGGGCTGGGAGGTGATTTTCCTCTCCTGCATGCCTTCACTCTGGACTTCTGCTCCATGCTTGTGCTCTGCTCTGCAGATGAACATTCAGCACGTGCTCCAGGCTCCTCCAGCCTCTGAGGCTTTGGCTTGCCCTGACAGTACCCCTGGTCCCAGTGTTACTGGACCTTTCCATACAGATGCTCCTCTACAAAAAATCTATTGAAAACTCTTGTGTCATTTCCAATGAGCAGGAGAGAGAATCTGATCTGCCTAGCAGTGAGGGTGGGAGTTCCCTAGTTGTCCCTGGATTTGTAGTGCTGCCCTTTCCAGAGACTCGAGGAGGGGCCAGATATCCAAAAAGAGGGTGCGGGTGGGGAATCAGTAATACAGTCTACTTCAACAAGAAAGTAGAAAGTAGAGGTGGTGGCTCATGCCTATAATCCCAGCACTTTAGGAGGCTGAAGCAGGCAGATCACTTGAGCTCAGGAGTTTGAGACCAGACTGGGCAACAGGGCAAAACCCCATCTCTACTAATAATACAAAAAGTTAGCTGGGCATGGTGGCACATACCTGTAGTCCCAGGTACTTAGGAGGCCGGGGTGGGAACATTGCTTGAGCCCAGGAAGTAGAGGCCGCAGTGAGCTGAGATCATGATGCCACTGTACTCCAGCCTGGTCGACAGAGTGAAACCCTGTCTCAAAAGTAATCAAACAAACAAAAAGGACAAAGTGGAAGCATTTGTATGCAAGATTGAAGTCATGCTTTCCATCTATTTTTTTTCACCTTTCCTTTTTTCTAAAACACTGTATCTTAAGCTTTTCCCGATGTTATCAAGTACTCATGAGCATTATTTGAATGGTTGTATCAGAATCCATTATCTGGACTCATTGTCATTTATCCATCTGCAGTTGCTGGACATACTGCCCTTTCTGCCACACTCAGTCACCCTTCTGACTTTACACTGTGTCCAGTTATCTACTAATACACATACTGGTCATTTAGGACTTAAAGTTAAGAATAGTTATTATGGTTTCTAACACTTCAAAAAGAATGTATCTTCCTAAAAATGGTTTTAAATGGTGGTTATACTTTTAAAGCAAAATAGACAAATCGATGTTGAAATTAATGTTTTGCTTTCTTCTTGTATCTATTTTCACTTCTCTGTCATTTTGATGGAGAAAGTTTCATGTGGAAGGATTTTTATTTTAAAACAGAAATAGCATATGACATGAGAATGGGAACACTGAAAGGTTCAACTTTCTAGTTTACTAAGTTTGTCACAAAAGCTACTGACAGTTAATCATGATTGACCTGTATTGAAAGTGAATTAACATCATGTACAACTTAAGCACTATACTTTCTATCGGATATAGAAAAATAGGTGACGTGTTTGTAAAAGTATTGGGCTAGGAGTCAGGAAGCATGACTGTTAGTCCCAATTGTGCTTCTTCAACTGAGCACCCCTAGGCAATAATTCCGCAGCTATTTCTTAAATACCGAATGAATTTCAGGCTTTGTAGTTGGGCTGGGAATATAGACATAGATACTGCATTCATGATTCTCCAAGGCTCCCTTCCTCACCCGGCTCACAGTGAGCTTTCTTATGCATTGTGTAAATCTGTCTCCTAACAGGCCCCTACTCTGTCTCCAACCTGCTTCCCAGGGCAGTTGTGAGGATCAAGTGAGGGAGAATATGTGTGAAAGCAAATTCTAAATGATTTTAAAATGTAATAAAACTATGATCCATGGAAAATTATTTAAAGATCCTTAGAATTTTAAATAAACAGTACATTAGGCCAGGCTCTGTGGCTCACACCTGTAATCCCAGCACTTTGGGAGGCTGAGGCGGGCAGATCACGAGGTCAGGAGATCGAGACCATCCTGGCAAGTACAGTGAAACCCGTCTCTACTAAACATACAAATTATTCACTGGGGGTGGTGGCGTGTGCCTGTAATTCCAGCTACTCAGGAGGCTGAAGCAGGAGAATCGCTTGAACTAAGGATTCAGAGGTTGCGGTGAGCCGAGATCAAGCCACTGCACTTCAGCCTGGTGACAGAGCGAGACTCTGTCTCAAAAAAAAAACAACAACAAGAACAAGAAGTACATTAACCTGAATTCTCTCTGGTTTTGATTTTAAATAGATATGAAAATTTTTCAATGGACCACTGAGATGGTTGAAAATCTTGGCTTGATTATTCTCCAAGAGAATGATACAGTGGTTTGCATGATTAATTTTCCAAAACTGCTAGCAAAAGAAATCAAAACCTTTTTTGAGTTGCTGTATAATGGAGAAACGTTTTATGTGTTCACTAACAGCTTGCCTTTGTTTGATTCCAGCTGCAGCATATCGTGAGTGATGAGATCTGTGTGGAGGTGACTGACCTTTACCTGGCAGAAAATAATAATGGGGCCACCGGAGGCCAGCTGAACACACAGAACTCAAGGAGCCTCCTGGAATCAACGTATCAGCGGAAAGCTGAGCAGTTAATGTCAGGTGAGAATTGATTTAAGGTGAGATTTGCTCAGGTAGTCAAAGAACTTGCTGGTGACAATGTAAGTTGTTAGGATTCTCTGAACCAGAAGTTAAAGCCGGGGTACTCTGACCCCGTGATTCTACTCCTGGAACTTTTTTGGGTTCCTAATGAGTTCACCAGAGAAATACAAAGTGGAAGTAACTATCTTCCTGGACAATCTACTTTGTTTCTTTCTTCCTTTAAAAAAGAAAAACAAACAAACTAGTTATATATGTTTTACAATTTTGTATTCTTCTTTTTCTCTGAATATTTTTCATAGTATGCTTTGTAAATATTATTGTTAGAAAAACACTGGCACATGAAATCCATGGTCATGGTCATTATAGAAAATAGGCCTGGCACACACGGCTCACACTTGTAACCCCAGCACTCTGGGAGGCCGAGGTGGGTGAATCACTTAAGACCAGCTTGAGCAACATGGCAAAACCCATCTCTGCAAAAAATACAAGAAGCCAAAAACTAGCCAGGTGTGGTGGCATGTGCCTGTAATCCCAGCTACTCAGGAGACTGAGGTGGGAGGATGGCTTAAGCCTGTGAGGTCAAGGCTACAGTGATCCCTGATCGGGTCACTGCACTCCAGCCTGGGTGACAGAGTAAGACCCTGTGTCCAAAAAATACAAGAAAAAAAAATGCAGATAACCAAAACAAGTCACCTTAGAATTCTTTCCTGAAATTACCATTGGTGACATTTCTAGACTTCTCTATGTTTGAGTATATATTTTGAAAAATGTTATACTGGACAAATGGGTTTTAACTTTATTTTTGAGACAGGGTCACGCTCTGTTGCACAGGCTGGAGTGCAGTGGTGAGATCATGGCTCATGCAAACTCTGCCTCCTGGGTTCAAGTAATTACTGTGCCTCAGCCTCCCTAGTAGCTGGAATTACAGGCCTGTGCCACTGCACCAGCTAATTTCTGTGTTTTTAGTAGGGCTGTGATCCCTGTGTGTCTCTGGGCCATCAGGCTCTTCCCCTCCCTAAACCTCGGTGTTCCCCTTCTAGAGAATGGGCAGAATTTTCTTCAGACAATACTTGCTCATGTGTTGGGGCCACAGAGAGGAACGGGGCATAGAGTTTCAGCAAGGAGCTGGACATAGGCGAGAAGCAGTCAAGATCAGAGGGACAAGAGGGTCCCGTCACCTCCCCGATTTCCCAGGACCTCACTGAGTCCTCACATGCATGACAAGATCTGTCCCACCAAGTCACAGGCAAAACCCCTCAGCTCTGCCCCAGTGCAGGGCTGCAAGTAACCCATATCTCCTCTTGAGGCCTCCTGATAGGATGACTTCTGCAAGCTCATGCCATCCTAACACGGAGAGCTGTTCCACACCCAGGTTGGGAGAGCGCTGGGTGAAATCAGTCCCCTCCACGTACGCACAGCCTGGAGCTGCTCTCCAAGGACCCCTCAGCCACAGAAGGCACTGGTCCTCCTACAGTGCTGCCCCACCCCCAACACCGCAGCCTCCTGGAAGTGTGGTCGGGGTGCCCTCCTTCGGGCTCTGCCTTCGCACCCACTCCTACACAGCTACTCTCCCTGCCGGCCGCCCCAGACACCAGATTGGTTTGGGCCTCTGCCTCCACAGGCCCAAACTACCATCTCTTCTGCTCCCCAGAAAGCCAGTTCCCAGCAGACAGGCCATGTTTCCTCTTCATTCCTCAACACAGAGGGCCCATCACAACACCCTCAGCAGACAGTAGAGCTCCCCACGCATCCTCTTAAAGAGGCTTCACCACTGATGGCCACAAGCCCCACCATGACCTCCTCCCAGGGGGTGAATTTTCTTACATGTCTCCCACCACAGCAGCGACAAAATAAATCATAAAAGCAGCATCTGTTAAATTGTCAGCAACATTTCCTACTAGGATCAACTCTCGGAGTGAGCAGCATATTCCATTAGATGGATCAGTGTAGGGGTTAGCAAGCGTTTTCTGTAAAGGGCCAGATGGAAACTCTTTAAGGCTCTGCAGGCCACTGAGTCTCCATCACCACATACTCAAACCCTCCCCTGTAGCAAGAAAGCAGCCCTAGACAACATGTCAGCAAATGAGCATGGCCACGTTCCCAGAAACCTTTCTTTATGGATGTGGAAGTTTGCATGTCATGTACTTCTCATGTGTCACAAGATAAGATTCTACTTTCCATGTTTTCAACCATTTAAACATGTAAAAGCCATTCTTAGCTCATGGGTCACACAAAAACAGGCAGCAAGAAATCTCGTTTTTAGACCAGCAGCAGCTGACCCCTGGATGGAGCATTAGAGCTTGGGTGCATATCCCACCCCACGGCTTCCAGGAGAGGGAGTGCAGGCTGATGCCACCTCCATCCCCATCTCTCTAGGGGAGAAGGCGGAGCTGGTGCTGTATGAAGTTTGGCTGCAGATCCTGGGCCAGCACTACAACACGGCCTTGGAGGACAAAACCAGCCCTGACTTCTGGGCACTTCAGGGGCAGCTGATGAGATGGGTGAAGTGGCGGGATGAAGTGGGGGATCAGGGAAGAGGCCTCGGGAAGATGGGGGATGACTGGACAAGACTTTGTTAGAGCTGTGACCCTCTTCATCCTCTCCTGATCCCCCAGCTGACCCTTGTCCTCAGACCTCTACAAAACTTTGACCAAGAGGTGGTGGAGGAATTCTGGTGGGTCCAGGGTAGCCCTGGGTGGCCCAGGGCTCAGACCTGGGGTCTGGGGTTGAGGGCAGAAGTCTGGGAGGCAGGGCCCCCGCCTGGCCATAGCCTTCTTGGTCTGCTCTAGGCACTCCTAGCCCCGAAGCTGGTATTTTAAAAAGTGATTTCTGGATATTTAGAAAGTCATCCGGTGTGAGGAGCTGGGAGGGTCCAAGGATAGAACCCACAAGAGGAGGAAGATTGAAAAGGGGTCAGAGTGGGAATGGGAGCTGCTGAGGGCAAGGCCCACCCCCAACCCTGACCCCCAAACCCAGCCACAATGCCAGTCAGCCTCAGGCCAGAGGGTGTGAGCAACGGGGGCCCTGGCTGCTCTACAGTGGATCAGAGCCACTGGGTGTGGGGGGTCTTCCAGGGGAGGTGTGGGGATGCCCGGGCAAGGTAAGGCAGGCTCCCAGGGCAGAGACTGAGGCTGACCCCTGCAGCCCCCGTACTGCAAGGGGGAATGCTGGGATAGGCAAGGGTCTTAACCTAGAAAGCCCCAGCAGCTCCTGTGCCCATCAGGACACCGTTGAGGCTTGGTGGTGGTGGAACCCAGGAATGGTCTTTGAACCCATGACCTGCAAGGGGAAGCCAAGGACAGTCCTGGCCTGTAGGCTCCCCTACCTGCAGGCAGTGGGCAGGCCCAGTGAGGGGACCCCAGGAGCACAGACCATGAGCTTACCTGGCCGCCAAAGACAGCAGCCAGCACCAAGACATCAAAGAGGGTGGGTAGAAAGGTCATCACATCGGGGTTGACTGCGGCCGGCACCAGGTTCCTCTGTACTTCTGGAACACACAGGCCTCTCCTTCCTATCCCTGAAGTGCCCCTGCCCCCACCCCAGCACCCTGAAGACCAGCCTAGTAGATGCATTTGTCCTGGATCAGCCCAGCTATCCAAGCAACTACAATTTCTGACTAGAGAGCCAGGGTGGGGCAGGGTGTAGGTATAGGAGGGGTCCCTGGAAGATGCTCCCCGGAATGCCCTGATGCCTAAAACGTTCCCCATTGGGCCTTCCCAGGGAGGGAGGGTTATGGCAGCCTGTTCTCTCCAGCCACCTCCATCACCACAGGAGCACTTACAGATGTTATGGGAGAGAATTGACCCACTGAAGCCAGAAACAGCATGGATGCAGCACTGAGGCTGAGGCTAAGTGGACTCTGGGAGACCGTCACTCTGTCTTCAAGCTTTGATCTCCTGGCCCTCTACAAGCCAGACTGTTTCAGGCTTTCCATGAGGCCTTGCACAGAGACAGAGTTCAAATATAGCTGGTGAACACAGTGGGCTTTAGGGAGGGGGCACATACCTAGTGGTGGGGGCTGGGTACCAGGGAAAGGAGGCCCTGTGGCTAGCGTGGCCTGTCTGCAGGTGACAAAATGACACATGAACCATGTGAGGAGAGAGGGTCCACCTGGAAGTGTGGACCAGCTAGATGGCCACCAAGCTGGATGGCCACTGCCAGAGCCTGCAGGACAGCAGAGGGGGCTGGGAAGGGACAGAGGACAGCTGAGGGGTGGGGAACCTGGTTTCCTTCATACAGACACATCAGTCTTCCTGAAGTGGTTCTTCCTCAAGGGGGTGAGGGGAGATTCAAGACACACCTCTAGTCCACCTCAAACCATCTCAGGAGGCCACCACCAACGCACACAGGCCAGCTGCATTGTCACAGTGACCCCAGAACAGCACAGCCCTATCCTTCAGATGAATAAACAGAGGGAGAGATACATCTCACAGCCAGGAGCTGGGACTCAGACCAGGTCCAGCTACAGTGCTGCCTCGATGGCTCTGCCTGCACCTTCTCCAGGACTCAGTTCCTGCTAACAAGTGAGCACCTGAGTATGGGTGAATTAGGTGCTATTATCCCTGTCCAGCTGCTGGGGAAAGGGAAGCAAGGCACAGGTGACTTGCCCAAGGCCAACATGACAGGGCTGGTTCAACCCCATCTGTCTCGGCCAGCACATGCCCATGGCAGAGGCTTTACTGTGATCCAAACCTGGAAGGTGGAACTCCTTCCAATGTCCCACCCAGGGCACAGAGCATGCACCCCCATGTTTGGGGGGGTGACAGTGTGGGAAACAATCTGGCTAGGCCATGGACTCTTGGAGCCCAGGGTTTCCTAGGGCCAGGAGAGCTCTGGAGCCCACTCCAACACCTACTGTAAACCTGGAATCCGCACCTGCAGGAGATCAGGAGAGGGGTTCAGCCTCCACTGCACCTACAGCAAGGTGAGACAGGCACAGGTGGGTGCCCTACTTCCAACCAGCCTCAGGTGGGCAGGAAGCAGATCTCCTGCTTGACCTTCCTCTCCTGCCTCCCCAAAGCAGATGAGAAGGGGCAGCCGCCCATCAGGCCATTGCCCAGATTGAAGCCGCTGAAGCTAGGTCCCAACAGGCGAGTGTGACCCCTGACTATCATAGGCCCGGCCCAAGGCAGTCCAGTCTCTGGTGAGGACCTGGTAGACAGGAGATGTGATGTCCCCAAGTGGCTCTATAAACCTCTGATTGAGGATAATCAAGGAAATGGACAAGACCATCATGCTCAGCCAAGAACCTGGCAGGCAGAAGGGGAACCAGGGGCAGGCAAAAGTCAGTTTGGCCCCAGGCCTAGCCCCTGGAAGGATGGTGGATGAGGGGCCAGCCACAGTGAAGGGGAATGGATGGCCACGGGCTGCATGGTCAGGGCTCTCAGCTCCTGCAGCCCCTGCAGAACATCTGCCCAGGCCTGGCTCTGCACTCAGCCTTCTGCCTGGAGCCACGGGTGCCTGGACACCGGCCTGCAGTAGGGATGGTGGTAGGAAAGGCACTGTGGCCACATGTGGGCGCCTAAGCATGGGACAGAGGAGTATCTTGCCCCCAAAGAAACCACAGACGCCAAGAGCTTAAGCAGATGTGACACTGTCAATAAACACCCTTGTCCTGGGTCACATCAATTAAGTGAGCACCTACCCTGACCCTGAAGCTGCAGCTCAGTCTGGCTGAGACTCACAAAGAGATGTTAGTGCTGGGCAGGGGGCCTGGCCCAGCCTGCGATGTCCAGCAAAGCTGTGGGCTGAACAAGAATCTCTGAAGATTAGTCCAGGACAAGGAGAGCTGTGCCTGTGCAGGGAGTGGGGGCAATGCCCAAGGTGCAGGAGGCCTGAGGACATTTAACTAAGTAGGGTGCCAGGTTAGGATGCGCAGAAGAGAAGGTGGCATGGCGGTATCCTGCCCGAGGCCGGGCTATAAACCTAGGGGCCGTCTTGTCGAGCCTAAACCATGCTGCCACCCAGATGCCATCCTTCAAATGTGAGGCAGGGCTGGGAGAGCCCCCAGAACCCTCATCCCTCCCACCCCAAGCTGGTTTCCATCCCTCACCAGAAGGAAAGGGAACTCTTCTATGGGGCACAGCCTGCCAGGTCCTCTATCGCCTGGGGGAAGGGGCCAGGGGGAGGGGGAGCTGCGGCTGGATGAGAAAGAACCCAGATCCCTCTCTGTCCCTACCTGACAGGTGACCTTGGGCAAGCTGCTTTCATTGCCTGGGGCCAAGGAGAATCACAGGGGAGGGCGCAGGTTAAAAGAGCTCCACCCTGGAACCCAGAGCTACCCACAGAGAAAACCCCCCATCCTCCTGATTCTGCTCCCAGCTCTCGCTGCTGGGATAACATCCTCACCATCAGAGAGGCTGTGGGAGGCAGAGGCTGACCCTGCTCCTTCAGGCACCACAGTGGGTTTGGGTCTGCATTCTTCATGATCAGGGAGGGGGTCCCTGGGATCACAAAGGTGAGGGGCAGCTTCTTGGGCTCCAGGTGCTCCAAAGTAGACCCTGCAGGGCACCAGAGCTAGAAGGGTGTTAGGGAGGCTGGGCGCAGTGGCTCAGGCCTGTAATCTCAACACTTTGAAAGGCTGAGGTGGGTGGATCACGAGGTCAGGAGATCAAGACCATCCTGGTTAACACGGTGAAACCCCATCTCTACTAAAACTACAAAAAATTAGCTGGGCATGGTGGCATGCACCTGTACTCCCAGCTACTCAGAAGGCTGAGGCAGGAGAATCACTTGAACCCAGCAGGCAGAAGGTGAACAGGGCCAGGACCTGAGCTCTGCCTGGCCATGGTGACTCTGAGCCAGGTAAGCAATCTGTCACTGTGTCTCACGGGGGATGTCAGCATTACCTCTGGAGTCAAAGTAGGTAAGCCAGGGTAACCAGAGTTCCCAGTAGGGACCAAGACCAAAGGACGCAGGGGTCGGGCCTGTCCCGGAAGTTCAGGTTGGATGAGGGGCTCTGTGAAGCTGGGGCAACCGAGAGCCTGCCCTTCAGGTTACAGGCATCTGGGTCCTGGTCTAGACCCTCATATGCCATCCAGAGACCCAACCCTAGGGACAATTCCTCTGAGGCTGGTAGCAGAGAGTCGATCCTTATACTCACCTTACCAAAAGTTCTGAAATGAAGGGGCCTATGGGTGGGGGAAAGACTCGTCAGGACAAGGTTCTCAGGGGCAGGTATGGTTGTAGCTGGGCCTTAGGGCAGCCAGAGAGGTAGGTGACAGGCCCGCTCACAAAGTCTGCCAGAGCATGCAGGAGGGACACAGGTGTAGTGGTGAGAATGTTCTGGAAGACAGCAGGCAGCCTCTTACTCACCGATGGGGCTAAGTACGGTCAGGTCCACACACCAGGAGAAGCTGGTATCCACACACTGGTGCACTTTGTTTCTTGTTTTAGAGACAGGGTCTTGCTCTGTTGCCCAGGCTGGAGTGCAGTGGTGCAATGATAGCTCACTGCAACCTTGACCTCCTGGGTTCATGCGATCTTCCCACCTCAGCCTCCTGAGTAGCTGGGACCACAGATGCATGCCACCATGCCTAATTTTATTTTTTGTAGAGACAGGGTCTGGCTATGTTGCCCAGGCTGGTCTCAAGAGCTTTCTACCTCAGGCTCCCAAAACACTGGGATTACAGAGACAAGCAACCACTCCTGGCCATGCTGGTGCATTTTGGCTGCCATGGTGCACAGGAGGTATGAGCTCCGGGGGTGCAGAGTCTGCTTCTGGACCTCTACCCAGGCCTGTACCCAGACTGACCCCTGGGCTGCAGGGAACAGGTGTGGAGAGAATGCAGCAAGCAGAGTGGGCTAGCCAGTGATGGAGACCCAGGCTGGGACTAGGAGAGATAGGGCTCTAACCCTCAGCCTAGTGGTCCTGCCCAACCCCTTGGGGCCAAGATGATTTCCTAGGAAGCCAGGCATGGAGGCCAGCATGCACCTGAACTGAGGACAGAAGACTCTGATGAGAGGGAGGGGGAGGCCTCCGACATAGTTTGGATACTTGTCCCATCCATACCTCGTGTTGAAATGTGATCCCCAATGCTGGAGGTGGGGCCTACAGTGTGAGGTGTTTGGGTCATGGTGGGGGACCCCTCTTGAATGGCTTAGAGCCCTCCCCATGGTAATGAGTGAGTTTTCTTCTTTTGTTCTTTTTTTTTTTTTTTTGAGACAGAGTTCACTCACAGCCCAGGCTGGAGTGCAGTGGTGCGATCTCAGCTCACTGCACCCTCCATCTCCCAGGTTCAAGTGATTCAATGACTGAGTTTTTTTTATCGGTTCACAGGAGAGCTGGTTGTTAAAAAGAGCCTGATGCCTCCTCTCTCTTTCTTCCTCTCTCACCATGCGACAGGCCTGCTCCCTCTCCGCCTCCCGCCAGAAGTAAAAGCTTCCTGGGACTGTTTGCACCAGAGTCTGCACACCCATCATCCCAGACCTCGGTCAGTACCTCCTTCCCTCTGCAGGCCCTCTCCCTCTGTCCATCTGCCTACTCCACATGCCCTGATCTGAAGCCTGCCTCCCCCCCTCATGGAGCCCTCCAAGATGCTCCTAGCCCCAGATCTCTGGTCCCACAACACCTTCTGGGCCCAGATTCTGCCTTCTCAGAAGTCTGGGAGGCAGGGCCCCGCCTGGTCATAGCCTTCTTGCTCTGCTCTAGGCACTCCTGGCCCCAAAGCCTCTAGCCCGCTGGACATCTTCATCTCCAGCTATGCCGTGGCTCTCCTCATCCTGGGCCTCCTGCTCGTCAGAGTTGCCCTGATCCTGGTGAGTGTCTGGCTGGGCCCGGGCTGCTTCTTGAGGGGCAGGCTCAACCATTGATGCCTTGAGCCTTTGAGCCAAGCTGAGGGGCGAGCAGGTCCCTTTCCACCCCTGACTCCCCCATCCAAGCCCAGCATGTCCTCATCCTCCAGCTGGGGCCACGGGGTTTAAGGCCAGGGCGGTGGGCCTGATCCCAGTGTCCCCGCCTTTCTTGTCAAGGTGCTAAGCTTGAGGGCATGCCTTGGGTGCTGACATTCCCAGGAACTCAGAGCCAGAGAGAGCCAGGCACCAGCCCGAAGTCACACAGCCAGGGGCTTCTTCCCTCCTGGACCCCCAATGACTGGACTTGCAGGGCTGGGAAAGAGGCGGAGTGGGGGAAAGCAATGAATTGTCAACCCACGCAGGGAGCCCCACTCCCATTCCCAAGGTGCATAAGGTCAAGGAACACCCGTTTCCAAGTCCATGCTCACTCAGGGCCCTGCTCCAAGTGCTTGGCACT